AGCGCTCAACCTGTCATCCACGTGGCTGGCCTTGTACGTAAGAGGTTATGAACAGGTGGAGCTTTCCTTACCTCTTTCCCTTTCCCTTTTTTTCCTTTTCTTTTTTTCTTTCCCTTTTTTTCGCTTCTGCGCTCTGATTCACAATGTGACAATAAATTTGCGCTCTGATATTCTTGTGACAATATATGCGACGATATATGTAGAGTCATACACGGGGTGTGACGATATATGTATGTAGTCATACAGAACGACCCGGTGACATGTAGGCAGAAGGGGAGAAAAGGACAAGAAACAGGGAGCTGTTTCGTTCAAGTTTCACGGACTGGCTCATCAAGCAATCGACTGAATCTTCTACAGTTTGCAGAGTGGACCCTAATTACGTTGGGCGCCGTTTATTGCCAAGATAGGTTTTCGTATTTTACGTTTTTTCTGTTATCGTTCTTTTCGTCTTGTACGTTTTTCTATTTTTTCGTCTCTCTCTCTCTCTCTCTTTGGGGGTTAGGTTAACGGCTTTTGGCAGGGATAACTCTCTTTTTCCTTAAACTGTTCTCTCCCCTGCGTCGTATTTTAATTTCCGTACTCATATTTTTTGCTGCTCAACTTTTTCACGTGTCCGTCCATTCACCACTCCTCCTCCCTCTCCTCCTCCCTCCCCTCCTGTTCTTTTTCCTCTGCCTGCCCTTCTGCTTTTCCTTTTTCGTATTCCTTCCCTTCTACTCTTCCTTTCTCTCTCTCTCTCCTCTTTGCCTTGTTCTTTCTCCCTCCCTTTCTCCCGCCCAGACTGCACCGGATCCCCTCTACCCCTTATTCTGCACCCTTTTTTCCCCCTCCTCCATCGCTTTTCCCCCTTGTTCTTTTCTTGGTCGTCATGGTTTCGTCGCTATTCTTCCTTTCTCTCTCTCTCCTCTTTGCCCTGTTCTATCTCCCTCCCTTTCTCCCGCCCAGACTGGACCGTGTCCCCTCTACCCCTTGTTCTGCACCTGTCTCTTATACACATCTAGATGTGTATAAGAGACAGGTTCTGGCTGCTACGGGGTTCCCGCATGCTTAC